GCAGGCCTCTCACTGTTGTGGCCTCTCCCGTTGCGGAGCGCAGGCTCCGGACGCGCAGGCTCAGCAGCCGTGGCTCACGGGCCCAGCCGCTCCGCGGCATGTGGGATCTTCCCGGACCCGGGTACAAACCCGCGTCCCCTGCATCGGCAGGCGGACTCTCAACCACTGCGCCACCAGGGAAGCCCTCTATGTTCTTCTTTTAATCACTGCAGCTGTGGGGAAGAGAACATAAAAATTCACACAATGACTGTTACAGTCACAATGACTGTTCCTCCCTAAAGGAAAACACATTACTTCCATATTCATTTCATTGTCCTATGCAAGCCATGTGTTTATATCTACTTCAAAGGGGCAGGGGTATACTATCCAACCAAGCATCTGGAGGGAGGAGACTCAGAATATTTGTAAATAGTACTTGTGAGAATGACAGAAGCTGAGGAACTTGCAGAAAGTGGAAAGAATAGCTGAAGTGATATACCAAGAATTCGTTGCCGGGTATGGAATATCATGAAGCATGTGTTGGCTTTGGAGAAAGAGGATTCAAGAATCCAGCGGGCACAAATATATTAGATGAGAAATACAATGGAGGGAAATATGAGTGATACAGCAGGAAGGGTATGAGGCTGTGCTCATTTTAATGACATTTTGTGCTGTACTAAGAACAAATAACATCCACTTTTATATTTTTATATGCTTGATTATTTTTAATGGATAGTTATTTCTGTATTGTACACATATCTTTTTTCTTTTCAGAAATAACATGTGATCCTCCTTATATTCCAAATGGTGTTTACACACCTCAATTAGCCAAATACAGAGGTGAAGATAAAATCACTTACGAGTGTAAACGTGGCTTTGCTCCTGTGATCCAGGGAAATGTTGCAATGTGCACCAGCCAGGGCTGGTCACCTGCTCCAAGATGTTCATGTAAGTTTCACTCATATCTTGACCTACTTCTTAATTCTGAAGTTTCTTTCTCTTAAACACACAAAAATGGGGACAGAATAAATCCAAGTATTTGTCCTACTGTGTATGCAAAGTAGAGGTTTTAGAGGCATTCTTTGCTGTTCAAAGTAGACAGTTCTAAGGAGGAATAAAAACATTTTTGTAAACTAAAAACTCTTTAAATTTTTTGCTACTCAAAGTTAAATATATATCTGTGTGTATGAATGTATAATTCTCTAATATAATTCTAATATCTGAACTAAAACATTGAGTAAGACTTACATCACCTAACACCTAGTATATTAGTTATCTAATGCTGTGTAAAAATATTCTCCCAAAACATATGGGCTTAAAACAACACACCTTTATATTCTTAGAGCTCCTATGGGTCAGGAATTAGGAAGTGGCTTAGTTGGCTAGTTCTGAATCACACTTCTTGGGTTGCAGTCGGGGTGCTGGCCTGGGCTGCAAGTCACCAGAGTATTTTATTTCTAGGGATGCTTCCTTTACCTTTTTTCAAGTGTTTTCTGTCTCTACAATCATATTCTTTTTCTTTATACATCACAGTTTATTGTAAAGATGCACTACAGTTAAACTCGATCTTGCATGAAAGAAAAATGTAATGATACAAACAATAGATCAGTGACCTCAATGTTAATTCCAGGCATAAGTCCAAAATGATTTTTCAAAGTATGAGTCCCTTAAAAAGGAAGCTATTGGGCTTCCCTGGTGGCGCAGTGGTTGAGAGTCCGCCTGCCGATGCAGGGGACACGGGTTCATGCCCCGGTCCGGGAAGATCCCACATGCCACGGAGCGGCTAGGCCCGTGAGCCATGGCCACTGAGCCCGCGCGGCTCAGTGCTCCACAACGGGAGAGGCCACAACGGGAGAGGCCACAACAGTGAGAGGCCCGCGTACCGCAAAAGAAAAAAAGGAAGCTATTATCAGTATGAAACAGATTTCAATGTGCATAAGAAATATAAGAGAAATATTTAATCATGTTAAAGTTTGGTTTATGAAAGAAAAAGAAGACAGATGAGCTGCATGATAAAATTTGTACTTTCATCTCTTGATTGAGATGCTAATTTAGTCAACCAAGGCTAGGACTTATGTACTTAAGGATAATTAAATCAATAGCTCTGTATAGTTTTCTACCAAGAGAGCTCACATATAAATTTTATGTAATATGACCCACAAGACATAATTTGATCTTCATTAGCAAAGACCTCCTTACATACCTCAGTCATCTGAGTTTTCTATAACTTTTCTTTTCCTAGAAACTCTAACACAATGAGGGTAATTAAGCTAATAGGAATATAATTCATAGATGAAACATCTGATCTCTAATTTGATTGCTTACTACGGTAAAACATTATTCATACCTTTTTTTTTTTATTCCAAGTTAAACCTTGCGATTTTCCAGTAATAAAACATGGAAGCGTACCTTATTCACGTAGAGGATACTTTCCAGCAAGCATAGGTCAATGGTTCTACTATGACTGTGATCAGTATTTTGTGCCAGAAATTCGCCAGCCTTACCTTAGATGCACACAAAAAGGATGGACTCCAGAAGTACCGTGCCTCAGTAAGTAAACCTCTTAATTTTATGTGTATAAATCTTCCAAAGAGTGGAGAAACAATAGTACATAAGTGAGTACAATTAAGTCTTACACAACACAAATAAGGCCAAGGGTCAAGTTCTGTGAGCAAAAAGACCCAAATAAGCCTTCTTTTTATGAGGAGCTCTCCATGGAAATCACATGAGAAATATAGAGACTTTATAAGAATATCTGCATCATTTACACATATTGTAATTATAAAAACTAAATATAAATAACATGGTATATTGATATTTTTTCTTTTTTAACAAACACGTGGTAGTAGCTTTCATCTTCATTAAGTTATTTGTTCTTTTTGAATACTAATGCATTGTCAGGTAAATACTATAAAGTTAATTTTTAATGTGCTATTTTACCAAATATATGTTATTTTTTTTCTTTTCTCTTGTCTTTATGATCCTTAGGACAATGTACTTTCAAGTACTTGGAAAACGGACATTACCCAAATTATGAAGAAAAATATTTACAAGGTGAAACTGTAAGAGTTCGCTGCTATAATGGCTACAGTCTTCAGAATAACCAGAACACAATGACCTGTACAGAGAATGACTGGTCTCCTCCTCCCAGATGCATCCGTGTCAGTGAGTAAACTGGTCCAAGGTCCCAGTATATTTATAATTTTCTAAGACTCAGCTATACTATCCACTGCAAAATGTTTTTATCAACTTTTTCTTGTCTTGCCAAAGGACTTATTTAGTTTTATGTTTTACAAGTGTGTGTGAGTGTATGTACAGACTTCTTGATAAGTATGTAACAAAATAAATGTGCCTATTGATAGACATTAGTCAAGAATACAGGGGGAAAAAAAAAACAGAAAGAAGAAACCTATAATAACAGAGAGATGTCAGCAAGATGGCCGAATAGGAGTTTTACTGTCTCTCCTGATACAAACTTTTACAATCATGAATCGATAAGAATATCTTTGTAGGATTCTAGGAGTCTAGCAGAGAAATTATAGCACACTGTTGGAGCACAGAGATTCAAGACTGAATGCATCAAAGAAGGTTAGAGGAACAGTTTCACTTTACCTGTGTCACCTCTCCCCTAAAGTAGCACAGCTTTAGTGCCCAGAGAGACCCCCCTCAGCACAGGATTTCACCTGTGGGGGAAAATAAGAGCATGTGAGTAAGGGCCAGCTTCCTCAACTTGCAATACTGATCAAAAGGCCCACTTCTCTTTCACCCCATCCGGAATACTGGGGTAAATCTGCATGACCGGGGGGGGGGGGGGAGAGGTCAGGAGTACAGCATCCAGGGCTAGAATTCATCAAGAGACAAGGATCCTACTGAGCATTTTGTAGACACCACCAGCTGGCTGAGGTAGAGGTGAAGAAGTTCAAGGAGATGACAGAGGGCCTGGGGCCCAGCATCATCAGGGACCTCGCTGTGGCAGGACTGGAGATGCAGGTAAAACTGCTCCAGAGCCTGGGCCTAAAATCAACCCTCATCACTGATGGCTCCACTCCCATCATCCTCTTCTTCAACAAAGCTTTGGGTCTGCTGGGGCTCAGGTCTGAGGCCCAGCCCCCAGCCAAGAAGGCAGCCTCGGGGCCCAGAGCCCAAGAGGGCTTGCTTCTCCCCTCCACTGCTGGCTCTCTTAACTCGTAGAAGCAACATGTCATGCCTTAGCCCCCTACTGCACTGACAAATAAAATTGACACTTCTGGGCATTTTTAAAAAAAGGAAGCCCACCCTCTAACCATTGCAGACACCTAGTTTGTGAATCCTTCTCACCCATGGGCACCCTCAACACATCCACATCCCCCTGCCCCCTGGCCAGCTCCCTGTGTATGTCCCCAAGGTGGCGATGCAAACTTTTGCAGATGAGACGTTTTGCAGTGAGACATCTAGAAGCCAGCCTGACCCTGTGGGGTTGTGAGAAAATACACAAACATGAGCATTTGTCATTGTCCCAGGGAAAGCAACCAGGAAGCTGTCAGCACACAGACTGGCTTTGCCAGATAGAGGGAAGCATACAATCTTCAAAATTCTCTCCCACAAGGGATCAAGATGTGTGGAACTTGTGTGTCCTTAAAAAAGGTCTGGAAAAGCCTGTAGCAGTGTGACAGAATGTATTTTCCTCCCCAGTCAGTCTGTAAAGACTGGAGGAAGCAATTGCTTCTTTAAGTGTGAAGACAGCAACAGGCGACTTCAAGAAACAAAAAAATCAAAGGACTACAATACAAACAAAGGAGCATAATAGTTTTCTGTTAACTGACCTCAAATAATGGATATGTACAATTTATCTGATAGATGCTTCAATATAGTTACTTTAAAGAAATTCACTGAGATGCAAGAAAACACAGGCAATTCAAAGAAGTCAGATAAACAATAATTGAACAAAACAAGAATTTTAACAGCGAGATAGAAAACATAAAAAAACAAAACAGTAATTCTGAAAGTAAAGAATACAATGAATGAAGTGATAAATACAATGGAGAGCATCAACCACAAACAATCAAGCAGAAAAAAAACTCATTTGAAAGTATCCTGTCAGAGTGAAGAAAGCCTACAGGAATGATTGGAGACCATCAAGAGAAACATTGTAGAGATTATGGGTGTCCCAGGAGAAGAATGGGAGAAAGAGCAGAAAGTTTATTTAAAGAAATAATGGCTGGGAAGACATGGACATTCAAGATCATGCATTTCATAAGTCCCCAAACAGATTCAAACAAGAGATATTCTATATACAAGACACATTGTAAAACACTGTCTAAAATCAAAGGCAAAGAGAATTTTTGAAGCTGAGAGAAAAACTTCCACAAACAAAAGGGATTCCCCATAAAGATATAAGCAGGTTAATAAAACTGCAGAAACACTGCACACCAGGAGAGAGAGGGATGAAATATTCAAATTACTGAAAGAAAAAAACCTGCAACTGAAGAATTATTTGCCTGGAAAAGCAGTCTTGTAGCAATGAACGGGATATAAAGACTTTCCCAGACGAATAAAAACTGAAGGAATTCATTAGTACTAGATCTGTCTTACAAGAAATGCTGAAAGGAGTTCTTCAAGCTGAAAGAAAAGGATGTTAATTAGTAATGTGAAACCATGAAAATATACAACACATACAAAATAATGTAAATTGTGATATCAAAAACAAAATAGGTGGGGAGGAAAGTGAAAGGATAAAGTGTGTATGCAATCAAAGTGAATTTGTTATCAGTTACAAATAGACTGTTAAACCTATAAGGTATTTTGTGTAAGCCTTGTGGTAACCACAAAACAAAACCTATATTAGATACACAAAAGATAAAGGAACCAAAGTGTACGACTACAGAAAATCATGAATTATCTAAGAAAGGGTGCAAGAGAAAGACCAAGGAACAATATTTACTATATAGTGGCCAGAAAACAGTTAATGAGATTGTATTAGTAAGTCCTTACCTATCAATAATATTAAAAGTAAATGCATTCTATTCTCCAATCAAAAGACATAGAGAGTGCATTAAAAAAAAAAAAAAAAAAAAAAAAGGGAGAACAAACAGAAGATCCAACTATAAACTACCTAGAGGTAAAACTAAACTGAAACTCACTTCAGCATTTAGGACACCCAAAGGCTAAAGTGAATGAAAAGACAATATTCCATGCAAATGGACATCAAAAAAGAGCAGGGATAGCAATATTTATTTCAGAAAAATAGACTTTTAGTCAAAACTGTAAACAGGAGACAAGAAGGTCATTATAAAATGAAGGGATCAAATCAAGAGGATTTAACAACTGTAAATGTATATGTATCCAGCATGGGAGCACCTAAGTACATTAAGCAAATTCTAACAGATCTAAACAGAGAAATAGTAGTATAATAATAGTAGGGGAGTTCAATACTCTACTTTCAAAAATGGGTAGATCATTCACCCAGAAAATCAATAAAGAGCAATTCGACTGGAACCAAACTTAAACAAATGTACCTAACAGACATATCAGAACATTCCATTCAACAGCAGAATATATATTCATCCTAAGCATACACAGAACATTCTCCAGGAGAGATAACGTGCTAGGTCACAAAACAAGCCTTAAAAACCTTAAGATGATTGAAAGTATACCAAACATTTTTTGGACCACAATGGTATGAAACTAAACAATCAGTAACAGGAAGAAAAGTAGAAAACTGACAGTATGTGGAAACAAAACATTTCTCAACAGTGGGTCAAAATAGATATCAGGGAGAAATAAAAATATATTCTAAAGGAAATGAAAATTTAAGCACAACAAAAGCAGTCCTATGAGGAGCATTTATAGTGATAAAATCGTACATTAAGAAAAAAGGAAGATCTGCAAAAAATGAGCCAATGTTATACTCAAAGAAAAAGAACAAACTAAGCTTGAAGTTAGCAGAAAGAAGGAAATAACAAAGATCAGAACAGAAATATATGAAATAGAGGCCAGAAAATACAACAGAAAAGATCACAACATACCTGCTTTTGCAAAAAGATAAACAAAATGAACAAACCTAAAGCTAGATTAAGAAAAAAAAGAGATAAAACTCATATAAGTTAAGTCAGAAATGAAAGATGAGACATTACAATTGATGCCACAGCAATGCCAAGGATCATAAAAGACAACTATGAACTATCATATGCCAACAAATTGGATAACCTAGAAGAAATGGATAAATTCCTAAAAACTTATAATTCAACAATACTAACTCATTTAACAATAGAAAATCTGAACAGAGTAAAATTAGAAATAAAATTGAATCAGAAATTTAAAATCTTCCAATGAAGTAATGCTCAGGACCAGATGATATAATTGGTAAATTATACCAAGGATTTAAAGAATAAATGCCAATCCTTCTCAAACCATTCAACGAAACCCAATGGCATATTTTACATAAGTAAAATAAATAATCCTAAAATTCTTATGGAATCACAAAATAACCCCTTTTCTTGAGAAAGAACAACAAAGCTGGAGGCATTACACTTCCTGATTTCAAACTATAGTTTGAGAGCAATAGTAATCAAAATAGTATGATCCTGGCATAAATAATAGACACATAGCCAATGGAACAGAATTGAGACCCAGAAATAAGCCCGTGTGTCACCTAATATTTAACAAGGCAATCAAAAATACACAATGGGGAAATGATGGTGTCTTTAGTAAATGGTGCTGGGAAAACGGGATATGTACAAATAAGAATGAAATTGGACCCCTATATGAAAACACCAACAAAAATTAACTCTAAATGAATTAGAGACTTAAATATAAGACCTGAAATCATAAATGTCATAAAAGAAAACTTGGGGAACTAGTTTCTTGACATTGGTTTGGGCAATGATATTTTTTGATATGTCACCAAAAGCACAAGTAACAAAAACAAAATTTAAGTGGGACTATATTAAACTAAAAGTTCTGTTCAGCAAATCAGCAAATGAAAAGGTAAGCTATGGAATTGAAAACCATATATCTAATAAGAGGGTAATATTTTTTAAAAAAGGACTTTACAACTCAATAGCAGAAAAATCAAATAATCTGATTTAAAAATGAGCAAAGGATCTGAGTAGACATTTTTCTGAAGAATACACACAAATGGCCAACAAATACATGAGTAGATAGTAAAACAATTACTAATCTTCAGG